TGCTAGCACAGGAGGATGCCTACCCTCCCAGGACAGGCCGACACCAAGGACTCGCTCAGTTCTGCTAGACTGGGACATTTCCCCTGCCTAGGTAGGGGTGAAGGATGCCTCCTTCCAGTTCCATGTAATTTTACCCGATTTCCCCAAATCTCAGTGACCAGCTCAGGTTTAAATCCATAGCTGCTCCTTCTCTCGGCTTGCTTAAGCAGCTGCCCATCCACCGGGTAAGTGTGGTGGCCGATATCATTTGACAAAGGGGACAAGAATAAACAAGGAAGGGAATGGAAACCAGAAAAAAAAGGCAGAGGGAAGTGCTGTTAAAATTCAGGCACATTTCCCAAGAGCCACAGGGACACTCCGGACACACATACCAGTGGACCAACTACCCACACGTAGCTTGAAACACAAATATGCAATCACATCTCGCCGAAGATTTTTTATTATTCATTCTTCCATGAGTCCCCCAAATGTCACACTTCCCAGTTCATAGGCAACATCCCACTGGTTGCTGGGGATTAGCAGCATGCTGATGATTTACAGCCTTCCATAAACCCAAACACAGAACAGGACTTTTGGCAGGATTTGCACATATGGAGAGCAGCAAATTTGTGTCTAGAGCATGTTTATATCTTGAGAAAAATATTTCTCATGTTTACTTATTGGACTAGTAGTAAAAACTCTTAATGTAGAAAGCAAGCATTACTTATTGGTCTTGTCCTTTACAGAACGTATCTTGCCTTCTGCAGTTTGAGGAGAGATTTATTTTTTCTTAATTTCCCTGTCTTCCGTAACTATAATTTACCACTAGAAGACACTATTGTATTTACAGCTGCAATATATTACAGAGATTAAATAAGCCTTCATTACAAATACACGTACAGTGCTTTCTTCCTGAGCTACCTCAGAAATTCAATATGCATAAGAGAAAATAGCAAAAAAACCCCAATTGTAATTTTGAGTAAACAGAAAACTCTGTGTAGGCCAAAGGCACAAAATATTTGTTACTAAGTAGAAAGCATTCTTTCGTATAGGATAAAAAGGAAACACTTTATTAAATGGTCATTTCCACCCTGTAGTAAGGCTGGCCCATCTGGTGTAATGACAACAGAAGGATGAGCATCAGTAACAGGAATTGCTATTCACAAGCTACAACAGATCCAAAGATCACTGAAATTAAATTTAAAAAAAAAAAAAAAAAAAAAAAAAAATAGCTTCAGGCATATACTTAGAGTTTGGGCTTTTTTTCTTGCTGAAGAAGTGATTTTTGTGACACAGAAAGGTCTCAAATCTCCTCTATGAAGAGATTGTAATTTTTGCTTTCCTCACGCAAAAAGACTGACACAAAGACAGGAAAGTAAAGAAGTTATAGAATGATCAGTCTCTTCAAATATGTATGTGAAGCCACCATATGCATTACAAAATATAGTCTAATACATTGATGATCTGCAGACCTGATAAGGCAGATTTTTTTTCTCCCCATTAGCACTTTTTAAACAAAAACATCAGGAGCCACTTTCAGTTGTCAAAACCAATGACAAAAGCTAACAAAAATGCAAGATATCTTCCAAATCAGCAATTGTTTTCCCCCCACAAAGATTACTGTTCATCTGGCGCAACACATGCTGTTGAAATGGTGCAAAGGGAAAATGTGAGATCAGTAGCAATGCAAGGTCTGTTGGTACTTCCTTAGAATTAGCAGACACAAGTAGCTTTAATGATGACCTTTATCGCCACTTTACCGTCAGTGCACATCATCCTGCACTGCTGTTTGACTCGACTACCCTCTCTGGATACTCTGCTCTCATCGTGTGCTCTTACTCCGAGGAAGTATTTAGTGGGATTGTGAGACTGCATGTTTACATGGGGGGAAAAAAAAAAAAAAAAAAAAAAAAATCTGTCAAAATCAGATTGAAAGCAGTAACGATTCTAAAAGAGATGGCTGCAGTGGCCAGGGACGCACGTTCTCCAGCACGCAAGCCCACCGCTACCAAAGGCGACCACCCCCACGCAGCGACCTCTGCGCTCCGCGACGCTCTCAGGCTGAAGGCGGGTCCAAGGGGGTCGTGTTCGTAGGCGACCTCAGCGCATTTCTAAAAGACAGCACACTGCCAGCCAACTAATTCGGCCCCCCTTGCAGCTGGGGGGCGCGGGCGGGAGCGCCGCAGGCTGTCGGCGGGGCTGCGAAGCGCAGCGGCCCCGGCAGAGCTGCGGTGCGGCCCAGGACGGCCCTCGCTGGCCCACCGCCCGGCTCCCCCAAAGCCGGGGAGGTGGCAACTTTAGATCGAAGACACCATGCGACGGGTCACGACAAACGGCGCCGGGACACTGCCTGCTTTAGAGTCTCAGCATTACGCACTGACATTTCCTCATGGACGCACTTGCACATGCTCCAGAGCTGGTAGCGCCCACGTTTCTCCAAGTATTAGGAACGTCATTTTTTCTTTGGGAAATGCTTCTTGCCCAGGACATAAAAGAACACCACCTCACCACCTGAAAAAACCCCAACCGGCAATAAAAAAAAAAAAGATCAAAACCCTTCACAAGAATGTGGGAGAATTTCCTACCCTGGTGACTGCCCATTTTTGCCCACACACTGAACACAATAGCTTACACCTCTTTCCACTGTGCTTTCTTGAAAGGAGGAGTATGCACTACAGGGGAGCCAGCTCATCCTATGACCAAGCTTACCACGGATCACCTTGCACTTACATGTTCATGTGCCCTTGTCCTCAGGTGCCTAATTGGGAAACACCTGGCTTAGACGGCCTGATTCTCACCGCACCAAGAGAAGAATGATAAATATTTAGAACTCCACCGAGTGGAAAGGAAAACGGTTTGCATGACTTGCCCCAGGCTCACAGTCTGACTCAGTTGCAGGGCCAGGATTAAGCGTTAGGAGATCCCCACTTCCAGGTCCTTCATGCCGTGCTGCAGAAGAATGGTGAAACGCAGCTTTCCGTGCTGTTATGATTCACCTAATCTTTTCAGATTTATTGGGTACAACAGATCGGTAACAAACTTTACAGAGCTTTCATTTGTTAAGCAATCCGTTCCCAGCTTTAATCTTTCACCAAAAGCGTGGTCAATTTTCTGGTTTGAGCCTGTAACAGACCGCTGAAGTTTCACATCCTGTATTTTTAGTGCCTTTCAGGGCTAAAAGCTATGAACAGCAAAGCATACCAAGAATAAAACCCCCTCTTTCTTCATGGAACAAAGAAAATCCTCAGCATCAGCAGACAGAAGAGATTTTTGTAGATGTCCATGTAAGTCACAGGAATGACACTCAAGGCATTTCCATGTAGATGTCCATCCCTGACATGGAAAAGATTTTTAGTCTTGCCTACGTGAGAAGGAATTAGCTCCATATTTCTATTTCAGAATTGATTGAACAGCAATTGATCCAGTAATCTGGGTCCATGCGCTGACAACAGTCTATCTACGGATCTATCTACAGAAAGAATTTATACTATTAAAGTATAATTCATTACCTGCTTTTCTTCCAAACTTATTTGCAGTGCTTCCCACAAGTTTTAATTAATTGCCACAAGTACATGTATGGAACAATTTATTTGCACATTTACTAATTGGCTTTAGTCCCAGTGCACACAAGAATCCGATTCCTTGTGTCTTGCTTAGCCGTTATTCCACTTTATCCCTTGACATTAGTATGTAAAAAGGAAGGTGCACTTCCTCCTGTGTATATATGCTACAGCACTAACATCACCCTAGTTTAACCAGCAGCTTTTAAATATGGCATTCATGGCATAACAGCATCTTAGCATTTGCTTCAAGATGGGATTTATTGTGAAGTCAAATAAAGTTTACCTCAACACCTGAACAGCCAAAAACTAGTCTAGACTAAATGGGAAGCACTCACATCATCTGCCTTAAGACTCCCAGGGACAGTGATACTTTATCACATTAGAATTACCGTTTTTGACTGAAAAGGAAACTTGTGACTGATGTGCAACATGAGCAAAGACTCGATACTGTGTGGTGGCAGAGCTCATGCAGAGGGCTATGTAGATATCTACCAGCAGCGTAGTAAAAATGCACACGAAGGATGGGTGCTTTCCTCCCCTAGTATATCCTCCTCAAACAGGCAACTGATCTTCTCAAGAAAGCTGCAGGACCCCAGGAACACTGACTGTGACTTTCGGGAAGCAGCAGCACCTCAGCCTGACCTTGAGAGCTCGATGCTCTGGCCACACGCCGCGGCTCTGTGATGCGCTGGCACCACCGGGCCGGGCTCATCCCGTCGGTGGGGATGCGCGAAGGGAAGCCTCGCGCAGCGGTTCTACTTCACCCCTCAAAAACTCCACTGTCAAAGATAAAACCAGTATGGCTTGAGTACTGCTGTATTGCAGTGCCCTGCAACTGCCATCTGGCTCCTGGGGCTGCCTTATTTACAGAACGGGTGGAACAAGAAAGCGATTTTGATTCATAACCCCCCATGATTTTTTCTGTTTTGTAACAAACACAGCCCAACCAGTACAAGCAGTCTAGCCCCAGGATGTTCAGAGGTCTCTTGCCCAACAGGTTCAAATACTTGGCTCCATGTTCTTTAAGAGAAATGAGCAGTTCAAGCAACCCTTAAAAATAAATACTTACAGCACTTGGAAAATGAAGAGGTTCCTGATTCCAAGGGGGATTAAAAAAAAAAAAATAAAAAATTACTCACTACACATTCCCATAGCAGAAAATCTTACAGCTACTATTTCACACCATTTTCCCAATATTCTTCAATGACTGAGAAGGAACAGCATAATGAAGAAACTCTCACCTAGGCACTTTCAGTAAGAATCTGGCCAGATATCTTTTTAAAGAGACTGACATATATCCTAACTGCTTTTTATGAGACAATGAGAAGCTCTACAATTATCATGTGTAGTTTGATCTTCAGATACCTAACAGCTGCAGGAAATTACATAGTGCACTGTACCTGTTGTAGGCTTATTCCTTTTCTATCTTATTAACTGTTCTCCTTTTTGAACTTGCAGCATATCCTACTCCAGCCACCAAAATGGAAGAAAATGTCAATATCAGCTTTGAAGAAGATTTTGAAGGAGAGGCGACACACACAGGCAAGAAAACTAACTGCCTTTTTTTTTTTTTTTTTCTAAAAATAAGCTAAGCTGTCCTTGTTCACTGGGGAAGCCCAGAAGTTGAGCAGATCCAGTTGGCTTGCCAACCCCTTGCATGGAAATATAGACTTCAAAGCCAATGAGAATGTATTTTGGAGTAAGTGACACCCCTCACAGAAGGGCAGGTAACACCAAACTGATCTTTGTGCCAATCCTCCTCATACCTGAAGCAAATGGCAAACATAGAAGACACCTGAAGAAGCCACCGACAGCTATGGCCCAGTGCAGCTCTTGCTGATTTATCGCTTCAGCCATGAACAACAGTCTTTCTTCCTCTGGGGAAGAGAGAAGAAAACAAAACAGCAACAAAAACCACACTCACACGCTAGAATTAGGTGATAAGGTTTCACTATAAAGGCTGAATTATTTTTTCATTCTTATAGAAGGAACATTCAGCGCTAACAGTGAACCTATAAATCCTTCTGGCAGATACAGCACAGCATTTAAAGGCTTCCTTGCTTAGAATCACAATTCTTTTTAATCCAGCACTCAACCACCATGATTTTTATGAGTACTGACATTGTATTCAGCTCTGCAGATAGGTATCACTTCACCCCACCCCACCAACATGTAACTATATGGCAATCATTCCTCCCTCTGCTCCAAGGGGTTCTTTGTGCTATAATCAATGTAGCTCTTGCAATAACTCTTTCTGAGGTTTTTCCTGAGCAGCCTTGCTGCTGTTGGCTAAGATTATTATATGCATATTTTTTGAGAGACCCAGATGTAGGGCACTGCATCCACACCTAGGCTTCCAAATAGTTTTGGAAATGAGGCTACTATACTGTTATTGCTATGTCAAGAGGTTCAGGCCAATTCCTGCTTTGGAATCTTGTTTGCAAAAGATTAGGTCACCTTCCCTTCCCACCAAGAGGTGTAGTGCCTTTAGCACTTCAAGATGTTGAAATTTAATCCAAAGCAAAGTCTTGGCAACTAGCAACACTTCATCTCTGAGAGGGAGACCTGCTTACCTAGCTTTTTCTAAATTTTCCATAGAAATAAGATTCACCTCTGAAAACACTAGAATATTCCTTGGTTTTGATTTATAATCTAAGATGCAGATTAAAACGTTTCATTTTGAGAAACACCACTGGAATTTTGAAATTAATCCCCCCCCTCCCCCAATTCCAAATTTTAAATTGCTTTAATAAACCAGCTCCAAAGACCAAGATCTGCATTACAATCAGAATTATCATAGCATTTGCCTTACAGGTTACTCGATCAGTGGAATGGGTATGGGTTTAAAAAAAAATTTAAAAAATCTCACGTGTCCTGTAGTCTTAGTTTTACTGTAAGTCCTTATGCATGTAATGTACTTAAATATACTATCTATAGAGAAATGCAAATACACTTCTATGAAACACGAACTTTGGCCAACATGTCAGCTTTAACAGGTTCTGACCCCTCATCCTTGTTAACTACTCATGTAGTTCACCAAAATCCTTTTACAGGATCCTGATAGGAACCAGACCACCAAAATGATCCAGGTTAGAGAAAAACCTCTGTTTTTTTGGAGGCTAAAATAACACATTGGTCCCAGAGCTCTGGTTTTCAGCACTCCTGGAGAGCGCTCTGGAAGGAAGAGGGGCAGCACAGAAGGACAAACCACCAAAGAGCAGAAACTTCTTAACACAGGTTTTTGTTGCAGCCAGTTTCTCATCTATCTTCATCTCTCTTAGGGCCCAAAGGTGTGATCAATGACTGGAGGAAGTTCAAATTAGAAAGCGAAGACAGAGATTCCTTATCCTTGAGCAAGAAAGAAATTCTTAGACAGATGTCTTCACCACACAGATCTTTCAGTAAAGATGATCAAGAAAACAGAGAGAGATTCTGCCGTAAGGTAAGAAAATTAATTTTGATTCTATATAAAACATTGGTTATAGGATAGAAAATCCTGAATTTGCCAGACTCAATTCCTTTGCAACTTAGCAGAGCTCACACAATATAGACAAAACAAATGCACATGCAACCATCTATCTAGTCCTCTCTCAAGCAGTCTAACGTCAGTAAAATAAGCAATATATTTCACAACAACGTATCACACAACATGGAGTTTGACCTTTCTTCCTCCCTTCCCTGACTCAAAGCTCTATCCTTGGTTAAGGCAATGGAAAATTTTTAACATATTTAAAGACCTACTAGCCAGGATAGAGCTGTGAGTCTGAACGTCACTCATTACTATTTACCGCTTCTGAAAGCGGAGGGGACCCAAACCCCACCAGAATTAAACTCTGACCCCACTACAGTCACTGGCAAAATTCCCACCAACTCTGAAAGATCCAGACATTTTTGCCAAATATGGCAACTGTCTTCAATAGCATCAAGTTGACACGCAAGTGTTGAGACAGGATCACCACCCGTGTCTCAAAGAGACCTTCCAGAGTCACTGCAGGAAGGGACAGCTCCTCTGGCTAAGCTTTCGATGCGATGTTCCTTAAACAACTTAGTCTCCTCCTGTTTCAGTACCAACAGATTACCACTTCTTAATACATTCTCTCAATATTCACAGATGAGCATGCAGGAGTATGAATTAATTCAGGATGAGCAAGAAGATGAAAGTTGCCTACAAAAATACCGCAAACGCTGCATGCAGGATATGCACCAGAGGCTGAGCTTTGGGCCGAAATACGGTTATCTGTGTGAGCTGCAGAATGGGGAGCAGTTCCTGGAAACCATCGAGAAAGAACACAAAACCACCACCATCATTGTCCACATTTATGAAGACGGCATCAAGGGCTGCGATGCTCTCAACAGCAGCTTGACCTGCCTGGCGGCCGAGTATGCCGCCGTGAAGTTCTGCAAGATCAAGGCCTCCGACACGGGGGCTGGAGACCGCTTCTCAAGTGAAGTGCTTCCCACTCTGCTTGTCTATAAGGGTGGGGAGCTTCTGAGCAATTTCATTAGCATTTCTGAACAATTCAATGAAGAGTTTTTTGCTGTGGATGTGGAGTCTTTCCTAAATGAGTATGGGCTGCTACCTGAAAGGGAGCTTCCAGCACTGGAAAATGGCAACACGGATGAGCAAGATGTTGAATAATTAGAGAGCCATAGTCCTCACTGTCTCCCTTTCCCCTTCAGTATGTTGTAAATCAATCTCAGGAACACCCATCTCATTTAGAGAAGTCTTTGCTAACTTATCTGTGAGATACACATATACAAAAATTGCTTAACTGTTAGTATGTGAATCTTACTTAGAACACATACAAATGGCAGTCCTGTACATATTTATTTCTGTGCTAGCTGCAAGAAGTAGGAAGAATAGGAGACGAAACTGGTGATCTGTAAGAAATTCAGGAAAAAAAAATAAAAATTGAGGGCCCATGCCTGTCTCCATGAAGCACAAGAAGAACTTAATTTCAACAGGAACAGGACTGATCCATCCCGCTGCATACACAGTCATCTCTGTGCTCCGGCACTATGGCAAGCCCTGGCTCCTCAGATCCACTTGTACCAACTTCAGTAGGAACAAGACTTCATCCAGCAGCTTTAAGTACAAAGAGCTCAAAGTCCTTGCATTCCTACATGGCTTAAGTATCTAGGACATTATTTCAGGCTTCCGTATTTAACTTTCAATATTAATGGAAATACAGAGGGTAGCTCAGCGCTTCTATAAGTTTGTCATCCAACCAGGGAACACAAACACATTATCAGCTAATTTCAGTTCACTGTTGCTCCCTATTTTCAACAGTAATATTGAAAATGTCTGCAAGTTACTGAAAAAGTATGTTGTGCTTATGTAATAGCTCCAAATAAAGCTTTACAGCTCTCAAAACCTGCCATTGTAAGTGTGAAATATATTGGTAGTACAGAACCTTAACCTTGAACACGTGAAATAGTAAGCACTCATGAGACATTTACTAAACTCAAAGTTTTAAGTTTTGCTAAAGGGATGTTGCTGAGAACTACAATTTAACAATCCGTCTGAGAGGAAGACACAGGGTAAACTCACTTCTAAACCTTCCTCTCTCTCTCTCTCTCTCTCTCTCTCTCCGTAGGTCTAAAAAATCCACCTCCTCCAGTTCTGGTACAAGACAACAAAACATTAGAAACATTTCAATGACTATTGCACACTAGCAAAGCTGAAGGCTGAATTCTACTCTGAGGATAGAAATATCTGTATCTTACTCTGAGGACAGAAACATCTATATCTTAACCGCACACAATTTTGCTAACATTTCAGATTATCAAAATGTTAAAGATTATTTTTATACTTGTGTGACTCGCCAGTTTTAATTTGATTTGACAGCTTCACATTTCATTCACTTTGGAGTGGGAGCTTTCAGTTTTGCTTTGGGTCAGGATCCCACCAAGGAAATGTCACCCTATGAAATTCTGCGTGTGGATCAGCAATAATTCAGAATTAAGTGGCCAGGACCAAGGAACTGTTGCCACAGCACTATAACCCACACATTAAAAGCAAGTTCTTACCACTCTTTTAAACACATTTTTTTCCTCCATTTTCCATTCGCATGGATAATTTACAGGAGTAGCTGAAAGTTACACTACTTTCCAACAGATCAGCACAACAAAATAATTCTATTCAAAAAGATTTGGGAAATAAAACCCTGCAAAACATTACTGAAGGAGTCATGAGATACCCTTTCAAACAAAATCATTTAAACACAACTGATGCCTCGTTTTAAATAATGGCCAAAAACCAACCAAACAAAAAATTGTCTTGTTTGTCCAGTTTTAGGGACTATCAAAACACTACTGAATTTCTACATCTAATATTGTATTGACATGGATTAATATTTTAACAAAGCCCTAGACACCTCACCTCTTGAACACTAAGCAATAGGAATGAAGTTCCTTATCATCTCTTAACAACATACAATCTTCTTTGACCTGTAAAACAATTCATGATTTTATTCCACCACGAATTCAAACAGAATCTTTCCGAAGTGCTATGATTTCTGTGTTGTAAATTTCTGAATGCAAGGCTATCGTAAGTTTCTCTGATGGAACTTCAGGTGGAATACAGCTTTTCCCTTACAGCAGTCCTTTTTCCCCTTACTCAAGCGTGATGTTTACCCCTCAGCTAAAATCACCTTCATCTTAACATTTCATTTGCATCAGCAGGTTGACTCTTCAGAAAGATATCATTTGCAGATACAGATGCCGTTATGAAAATCTGATGACCTTATAACAGATTATTTAGAAAATAATGAATTGTCTTCTATCTATTGCAAAAATAACCAGTTACCTGAGTAGTGGGACAGTATTTGTCTTACATTTTTGGCGAGATGTCTTAAAGAAGCAACATGAAAAATTTCTGTCCTCTACACACCAGAAAATCTTCGTGTAACTGGTGGGAATTTAATATTCTTGAGAACTTTTACCCTTTATCAAACTTAGTTCAAAAGCTACTATGCTGCACATCAGAAGCCTGATCATGTAAGTTTCAATTCTTTGAGAAACCAGGCTGAAAGCAAAAAAAAAAAACCTAACAAACAATAACCACCACAGAAACTACATTTATAGCTAGTTTTAAGAAATAAGCTAACACTCCAAGTTAAGAGAAATTAAGCATGCTTAAGCAGGATTTCTTTCAACCTGTAATTTAAAAAAAAATAAGAAAAAAAATATGTGTGACGTCAAGCCTCAACAAAGCACATGACTAATGAAGTTGCAAATAAAGCTCTGATCACAGCAGTCATCCATATTTCTGCAGAAAAAAACCCCATAAACCTTAAAACAAAAAGTGAGACTTGACTCAAAGAGCATACTACTGTACAAATATTCTTGAATAACAAAAAGTAAATGTTTCAATAAGAACACGGAAGCAGCTTTCCTGCTGCCCTCAGCTAATTACTCTTCCTTTTGACTCCAAGTCAGAGACCTTGAGTGTCTCCAACCAGCCTGATGCAGACAAAAATGGAGGGGGGAACTAATTACCAGTGGTGTCACTGCTGATCAAACTAAGCACTGAAGCTCTAGTAGATGCACATCTGTCATCAGCATGCTGAATGCTACCCCTCAGATGCGAGGGATTATAAACCTCATTGTTCAAGGCCACTGAGGCTTTATAAAACCACATTTTAAAACTACGGAACACAGAAAGTAAGCTTTCTGTAAAATTACTCTGTAACATCAACTTGAGAACTACACTTAAAAGAGTCAGATCTTCAGATGTGGAAGTCCCTCTAGACTCTTACATATTAAAATAAAAATATATCTGCAGTCATGGATACGAGTTAACAAAGTTCAAAGTCCAGTTTCAGTCACAATGGAGTTTTCACAAACTGAAAGCTTCAGATTATATAGGTAGCAGGAAAAGGATAAACCTATATGAAACCTGAGCAAAACTTAAGCAGTAGTCAAGAAACAGACTTTGAAAGGGTTGCTTTCCTTTTTTCTTACACACACCTTTTTGGTTTTCTGTAAGAACACATTTTCTTACATTATCAGTGTCTAACAGTACAAAAAGGGTGGGAAGAAAGATGACGATGAAATCCCCTCTTGGTTAGTTCTGTGATTCTTAGACAAGCAAGAACCTGCTTTCTTCTACATCCACTATTTCCTCATGGCAGGATGACTGGAAGGTTCAATCTGTTGATACAAGTCAAATTACTCAACTTTTTTCTTTGACAGCGTTAAATTATTTTATTGCACAGATGAAGTCTCCTGTATTAAAGCAGAAATCTCATCCAAAGCAACGTTTTTCTTTGCCTTCTTCCAACCTCAAATTGGAAAATTAGACTTCCACAGATCATTGGTACCTAGTTAGTTATAAGCTGAAGGATTAATTTGACAGTCTGTAGTAACATCATAAAGAAAAGGATCATTTACTAAACACTGAATAATCTTGCAGGGAGGGAAGAAAAAGAGAGGTTTTTCCTCTTTGCTAGGGGATCCATGGAATAATACCTCCAAACAAGCTCTACTTTTTACATCATAGGAGCTAAACAAGAACTAGTGGAAAAGTGTTTCATGACAATTTTCTTCTCTGGTGTAGGACATTTAGCATCTCAGGTGTTGCACTTTACTTCTATGGCTGAGTTTCGAGTAGCAGGCAACTACAGAATAACTGTTTTGCACTTTACTTCCAAAAGCATAACCTCCCTCCCCACCCCCACCCCCCCAAAAAAACCAAACAAACAAACAAACAAACAATAGGAAAAAAAGGAGACAAAGAGACAGAACACATACTTCTTTCTTCTCATTACTCCCCTGCTCTTCTTCCTAATAGAAACTTTAGCAAAGCAATTTTTAAACCAACTATATTATTTTGAAGCATGTTACAAAATTCATCTTGTTTTTTGGATAGCACTCAACATCCCCCAGAAGCAACTGCTTCTGCACAATGCCACCTTGCCTACTGGTTCCACCCCTTTGCACAGAATAACATGCATCTATAAAGCACGCAGCAGCTGAAAACACTGCCTCCGTTACAACATTCACTCTCCAACGAGAAGCCCTACTTGAGCAATACTGAGCACAAAAGATCAACACTGTGTTCCAAAACATAATTACAGTACTAAAAGCAGCTCTTTTTCCAAACATCTAAAAACAGAATACACAGATGAGGCAACAGTATTTAAGACATCTTTCTCATAGTTGCCTTTTATTCAAAGTATCCCAGTACATTCTTGATTATGCTTTAGAACCAAAGTGTTTATATTTTTTCCTAGTGTTTCAGTGCCTTTATACAAAAAAGAAATTTGCAGTAGTATTAAAATAGCCTAAAATCTGGAATTCTTTTCTGTTGTAGTTCAGATCCAAGTAAACATCACATTTTATATACAAATTATCTTTACTAACCTTACTAGAATTCTTCTCTCCTTCCACTCTCCTCATGGCAAGTAAACACTAATGTTATCGCCTACCATACCAAGGAGAATCTCTCACAATGGAAAGCTATCTGTTTGTAATCTAAAAATCCTGATTAGCAAACAATTTTGACAACTTGCGTGTGTCTACAATATAATCCACACGGGCTGCCTAGATGGAGCTGTTGCTGAAATAGTTAATATTCCAAGGAAACAATGACTGAATCAGAGCTGGACAGAGAAATCCTCATCAAGAGTCACTGAGTAAAAGAGGACATCCACACATCTCAAAAATTCTATGCATTTTATTGATTTCTGAGTTCTCCAGGTCTTGAACTAAGGCATTTACAGGCTGCACTGGTCTAAGTCTTGAAACTACTAGAAACTATTTGTATACCTATTATGCTAGTTAACCAGTATTATCTAAAACAATGCATACGGTGAACTGCTGGCTTCATTCAGTCTAATTTTTCCCAAATTAATGAGATGAGAATTCTCTTTGCAAAGGAACCCTTAAAGCAAGAATTGTCACACCAGGTAACTATGCTAGTCTTACCAGTAGTCTGAAAACCACCAGTAGTAGCACCGTGCATTAAAACAGCACACAGGAAGAAAATGAAGGTTCTGCATTTGTTTAAGGGATCTTTCTAGAAAACAATACTATCATTTGTTCATACAGAGCAACAGGGTGAGTTTCCTGTAAGCTTGATTCACCTTCTACTCGATACAGTAAATGCATGCTGGAACAAAGTAACTGAACCTATCATTACAATTTATATTGCACATCTAACCAGTGATACTTAGGCAACAATTCTTAATTCCTAATATGTTAAGCCCAGATGTTTCCATCTTGTTACTGGCCAATACTTCCATGAAGCTCCGGTTGCTTGAGTTTAATCACTGAAGTAATTGAAAGAGAAGATCGATGCAAAGACTGCAACGGCAGCTGCTATTACCACACCTAAAATAACAAAGGAAATGCATTCAGTGAGTAGCTAGA